TCCCCAACAAGGGGATCTAAACGTCGAACTGTGAATTGTCCGCCAAAGGATGTCGTGCATTAACTTAAATTGGTTGTCTGAGAAAGTCGGGTTGAACTGAGCTGCCTCTTGTCCGAGGTTCTTGTCGGCTTGTCCTCGAAAATCGACAAATCTGAGAGTACCATCCCCTAATCCAAGGCTTTCAAATGCTCCCAAAGGTCTACTGTACTTCTTCTTGACTGGATTCACTCAATATGAGGTGTGAAACGTGAATGGTGACTTGTTTCATTTGCAAAGTAATGCCTCACGGAATCAGGCTCGGAGATGATGGAAATCTGTGACATGAATAGAATTTGAAGGTCTGTGAATGTGCATACTTCGAAAAAGGTTATGTTGACGGGAAAAATTGAAGCGGTTGCAACTGGGTGGCCATGAGAAGTTAAGTTGCTACCGCTGTTTCGGATTGGTGGGCTTGAACTGAGACTAGTATGACAGGATAGTTGCAACTTTTGGGAAATAAAGGCAATGTGAAATTCAATGGAAACGTCAGCTCTACTCATATCATTGTGATTAGATTCTACTGCCAGTCTTTTATCACCTTCAACGAAATAGGTTGACTACATTTCATATTACTGATTTACTGGCAGTCTCGAAACTCTACTCAAACGCGAAAAATAGGATAGTTACATCCGGACTTACGATAAGCTAAAAGAAAAAGTCCAAACAATGAGAACCACGACTTGGTTACAAGGATCATGTCAGGTCTGAGCTAACGAAGAGGCAAATTTAGGCCCAGTTTCTTTGACGTCAACCCTCATGCAGCCTTCCAACAGGTACACTCTGTACCCGGATTGTTGGAGCGCTTCACAGATTGCATTAGGATTGTTCCAAACTGGACTCGTCAGTGGCCGAGACAGACTGTATGCTTTCGAGGCAGTTGTCGTCAGGTCAATCAAGAAATTACGTCTGCGATGCTTCCAGAGCCCATGTCTCCGTCTGTTTGTAGACACCGCTGAAGTCGGTTTGCCCGAGGCTATCTTTGGAATATTACGTTTAAGCTGATGAAGGCATTCTGGTAGTCTCGAAACTCTATTTAAATACGAAAAATATCTTTGGAATGTTCTATTGCGAATATTTATTGTTTTGTTTACGCTTATTGCTGGTATTGCATCTTGTGAAATTTGTTGCCAAGTCGTGGCTCACAACGTCCATTTCTTCGCGTTTCCAAGTGGACTGTCTCGTCTGTGTCGAAGTTTAGCTTTTCGGTTCTTTGGTGTTGTGCATGGCTGTAATGAGTCGAAAGAAGAGGGATTGGTCACGCAGCCGCGACTGAATGATTAGTTCAACTCGGAAGGATCTGGATTAGTCTTTGGTTGGAGGAAACCTGCTCGAAACAGTTGACTGAGTCTTGCATATGCGACAGAAAGTTATCTTTCTAACAGACATTTTAGGCTTGGTCCGTTGAAAACCGGTAAGTGCATCTTGAAGCCATCACCACTGCTTTCTTGCCCCAATGTACGCATGGACGTATGTACGCACAAACAAGCATACAGACACACTTGTTGCCAGATTGAGATTTTACATGAACAAAACAAATGGTTCGATATCTCACAAAAATTTACATTTTATCGTGTCTGTACAGCATGTAAGGATAACTCGGTGAGTATTTTTGATTGGTTAGCTTGAATCTATTTGAAGGAATGGTGGACTACTTTGATGGTGTTGGTCATGCATGTTAGACGAAAGTCGACGAAGAGGTTTTGTTGAAGCCAACAGGAATCTGCCGTCGTCTTCTGGAGGGTTCTGCTCCTTCACTTACAATAAAGGTGGCCGTTTTAGTAGCCATAACAACTTGGCAATAAAGAGCGTTCTGTGAGATCTTGTTTCCTGGGCCTCTGTAGGCATGCGAATCGTATCTACTCGTCACACTTTTCAATCTCTTCAAATTATCCGCAGTTGTCCATTTGGCTTCGAGTAGTTCCAGGCCTCGCGAGGTGATGTGTGCTTGTTTTTTCTTCCATTGCTTTAATGGTTGAATCTTTTCAATGAAACTATCTTCTCATATGTCCTTTAGTTGAAGCAACTGCAGAAATGTCCCCTCTTCATTTTACGATATTCCCCTAATCCTTTTATATTTCCTCACTTTCTGCTCAATGGAATAACTTCTCATTTCGCCTGTTCGTGTACTACGAACAAGTGAATAAGACAGTTGGGGTTTTCTCATGAATGCTTTGCGACTCCAGGCTCTTTGCTTTACCCACTGTCTCAGCATCTAGGCCAGTTTTAACTCCATAGCATGGCAACAGTAACCAACTAGGATGCTGCCAAGGCCACCCCACAAACTCGCTACATTCAAAAAATGTAATGTCCAAGTTCTTTTCAATGCATTCGTTAGAAATAAACCATTGGAATAGCCCTAGGCTAAGTCGATGTTATTTAGTGGTTAATCTGGCATTAGTTTTTGAGTATATAATTAGTAGTTTCTGAAATCATGGGTAACTCTTGGATACGAACTTGTCCATCTGAGGTCGCTTCAGGCGATGAATGAGTGGTACTTGAATTTCACTTAACTCTGCTTCTCAAAAAGTCTTCTTCTCCAAGCTAGACTCTAGCTTCGACCTCAAATTTTCGGTTCATCGGCTCTTCTAACGGAATTCGAAGACGAGTTGTTACTACTCTGCTACACCCACACACACACACACACACACCCACACACACATATATATATCTTCAAATTTAGATTTTCGATGAGACAAGCATGTGTCTGCCGTATTCACAGTGTGTTTCTAGACTATCTTCCTTGCGATGCTCTTATTCCTCAGCACTTGCTTTCAACACTCCAATTCGGCGCCATCCCAAGTATCTGAACAGTGATCATCGGCTCGTGGAGAATTAGATTCATACTATCTTGAAAGGCTCTCCAGAGGCTTTCAGTCGCCTTATGAGAGTGGACACACAGAGAAGTAAATGCCACCGATCATATTTATGATAAAAACCGGCTGAGTGGATTCCTACACGTCGGATCTTCGAATCTACAGAGGATTGAAACTCTGATAAGGTGATTGCAGCGTCATCCTGCTCCATGCATTGACTAAGATTGTTTTTAGCATCCTTATTTCATGTGAAAGTAGTTCATAAAAAGGCTCGTAATTTAACCTCATCAGATTCTTGATGCTCTGCTGTCGTCTGAGTTTATGATGGCGTTCAGGTTGACTCATTCTACTAGACATCCTCTTTGGTTCGAGCGATGCAGTTCACCAATTCTACAGTATTTCGCGACTGTCAGCAGATCTTCTATAAAAGCTTCAGCAAAACACTAGGTCGCTTAAGGCAATGAAGGAGTGATAGAGAATGTCTTTTTTAGAAGCAATTGCATCGTGAAGTAAACTTAACTACCAGGGCTGAATTTCGTCTGGCTTTGCGACTTATTGTTAGCTCAACTTTTTCGTAGGAATAGGCTCCATTCCTGAGAGGTCTTTCAAGAGGAATTTTGGCCGGTTTTCATCGAAATCAAAAGAGGCTTTTTCGTGGACGGCAGCAACTTGAGTGTCATGGCAACAGCAAACGACGCTGGAGCAACGAATACCACCTCTCGCTGTCGGGAGATGTTGCCCAGCGAATCTCTTCATCGGTAGGTTCCGCTAAACCCAACGCTAACAGGCCACAATTATCTGTATCTTAATTAACTTTTATCTTCAAACATCGTTCCGGATGTGACGAGTTTGGGTTTTGCTTGGTCTTTGCTTGGTACTTTTGCTCAAAGTGTCCGGCTGTTGCTTGATGGTCTAAAATGTCCACGAATTTGGAGGTCGAGAAAGATGTTCCGGAATGTTATTTTTAACATTTGGGCGAATCAACCGGTGGCTTTTGTTAGGAGTCCCTGCAAAGTGTACAAGTCACCTGTCCCGAGTTCGATCATGTCACCCTCCTCTTCGCTTGGTTGCCATTGCAGTTGGTTGCGTCCAGCGACGAGATGAGGTGGTGGGGCTCTAGTGCTCCTTTCTCCGGGCCAGAATGTCAAGAAACTTCTCCAAACGTCAACAGACCTTGTCGTGTATGGCAACATGTTGTGTTGACGTGGAGAGGCAAGCTTCTGTGAGGTATAGATTGGCGCAAAATTTGCGCCCATGTCGTGTCGGCCAGTTGTGTATGGACGCTCACAAGATGCCCCAGCCCATGGTAACGGCGAAGCTTGTCATCGTCCAGGCAAAAGTCGCACGACGCCAGGCTGGAGGCTTGAGGCAAGCGTCCTACTCCGGTTGCCGGATGGAAATCAGCCAACACCCACTTTGGTCGAAAGTGAATGAGAACACCCTTTGGGAGAGCAAGGCCATGTGAAATTGAATGGAAACGTCAGCTCTATTCACATCGTTGTGGGCAAATTCAACTACCAGTCCTTCATCACTTTACCCGAAATAGGGTGAATACATCTGATGTCTGATTTACTCATGAAAAAATTTCACCTTCACTCTCATGTTAGAACCTCCAGCGAAAACTCGAACCCAATTTGTGGTAGTGCAGCGCATAATCTCGGCAAGTTGACTACTATGCCACAGGGTCGATGCGAATTTCAAGAGAGCCTAGGCTTTTCCCATATCACACTTTTGTGGTGATATTTCTGACCAATCACAGTTGTCGTTGGAGTACCTTTCATTTCGCTTGAAGATGCCAGAAGCTGTATGGGGATGCTTTCGGAGCTGTGATTATAGATTTGTGGGAATAGGTCCTCAGCGCCCTGCCCTGATTCACAATAATCCACCAGAATACGAAGACAAGAAAGGAGTCCTGCAAAGATTGATCAGAGTCGCAGGGAAGTGAGTTGAGGTCCCATTCACACAAATCTTCAGTCACAGCTCCGAGGAAATCCTCCTACAGCCTCCGGTGAGGCAAACTTATGAATCCCTTCCACTCGCCTATTTCAAGCGAAATGAAAGTCAATCCAACATCATTCTATGAAGGGATTCTTTGAAACCGACTCAACGTTGTGTTTTGTCATGGCAGACGAAAACCTTATACATTTTCCGTTTATAAGTAGGTTTTAAAGACTACCAGAAGATGTTATATGAGAGCAGATGCGAATTTCATAGTTGCCTCTAAAATGAATTGCATCTAAAATAGGTAATATCATTTCTTGCAATAGCAATAATATGTTTATGTGAGATGTATTCATCATATTTCATGTGATTCTGGGACAATTCAATTGAAACGAAATAAATTGAATACCTCTCATATGAATGATTTAGTGGCAGTCTTGAAACCCTACTTGTAAACAAAAAAATGTGTTCACGAGATGTGTTTACTCTATTTCGTTTTGGGTGATTTGAATTTGTCCACATTGCTAT